TTTTTGGCTGATGGGCTGAGATAGCCGACACCTACGCACAAGTGAATGTTGAAGAGTGTGGTAGAGCAGTGTCATAGAGGAATTCTCACAGAAAGTATTTACCTGATTATGTTATATGTAAACAGTTGCCGTAATGTTGGCCTTTAGGACATTATGACTTTGTGGGGAATTGAAAAATTGGGTTCTGATGGAATTTAATTTTTTTCTCTTGTTTCATCATGATAGCTGATTTCCATCAAAATTACTAAATTAAGGATAGTTCATTGGTGAAACAAAATCACTGACCGAGAAGAGTAAGCGATCATAATCTTCTTAAGTAGTTCTACCTAAATCATTACAATAGGGTTTTACTCCCTAAATTATTGGCGTATGCAGCTTTAAATTCTGAATTCATCAAAGGTTGTCTTTTTTTGAGTGTGAGATGTGCTTACTAGAACACAGGTTTATTTCCTCATTAACATATGAGGTACCAACTATAAGGGTGCATTTTCAATCTTCATGTAATTAAAACCTACTCGACACTCCTCGTACACATGAACTTTCACACATCTGTTTAAGTCAAAATTGATACATATTTGTTTCTTTTTTCTGGATCGTAACAATTATATATGTATGAAACATGAAATTGTCAGAAATAAGTCTGGTTGAATATCTGAAAGTATATGTATGTAACAATTATCAATACTGGTTGAATATCTGAAAGTCTTAAAAGGCTGAATTATCCAAAAGTAATATTTATTGTGAAATAATTATCCTTAAAATTTATTATAAACTTGCAGTGCAGTATGTAATTTAGTAACTAATATAGTGTAGTGTATGTAAAATAATAGTTTCATAGATAAGAAATAAGTATGAGCTTCACTGAATAAGTTATCACATAACATAAATCAATATTTGTGCTGAAATTTCTCTTTTATATTTCAAAATTTATGTCTGTGTATTATCCTTTTTGATTTTCCATTGNCCTTTGAATGTTTTTATGAAAGTTCTTTGTGGAATCGACTCTCATTCCTTTGCATATAACGTGATATTGCTCTGACTGTCGATTGTATCTGATTTCCTCCCGGAACTTAAATGTAGTGCCACACTTGCAAGATTTTAGTTTACTGCTTGTCTCAAGCTCATATAAGTGGCCATACGCTTATATTAGCTGCTTTCTCTATTTGATTTCCTGTATTGTGATGGGTGGGTATCTTCCTGCTTCATTTATTTTTAGCTGGATTCTAGCATCCACATTAGTTGCTATATATTGTCCCGTTGATTTTTCTTATTCATGATTAGATACATTTGCTATACTGTTAACACGAAAGAGATCTACCTTGAATGTTCTTCCCCAGGAGTCAGCCACCTCCAATGCACACGACAGTCGTGAACAATTCTCCTCTGATTGGGATTGTTCTTTGCATCTTCCCCTCTGGGTTTCAGAATCTGAGAAAGCAATGATTGAAAAGCGATTAGAAGGTTGGACAAAGGAACTGGAGGCCAGTGGAGCTGATATTGCCTCCCTAGCAATATCTTTAAGAAAACCTCTCAGACCTTTATGGATTTCACAAAGAACTGTTATCTGGTTGAATGAAGTACCTGAGTACGATTCATGGGATTTCACACCCATCATACTCGTCTCAGCATCATCTTCAGATGGCACTTTTCAGAATCGGACCACCTCTGAGTTTAGCTGGAACTATATTGCTGGTGCTGGGGATGATGAGGAAAGTTGGGCTAGAGGTTTAGCACCCCATCTTTTCTGGAAGCATGCATATGATATTATAAGCTCAGGTCCTGACTTGTGTAATCAAAAGATTGCAAATATTGTAGAAAAGGACCGAGTTAGCCGTGCACGAAGGGGAGAAAATGCTCCACAGGTGTCTGTTAAGCCTTCAAAAATCCTGGGAAACACAAGTTCGTTTCAATTTGGAGACCCATTAGTGTTTGATGATGAATTTGTGGCTGAAGGCGAGAAGAAAAGTGGTGATTGCTGCATGTACTTTTTGGGGTCAACTGGTATTGCAGTCGGCAAATCTCGACTTGGTATTGCCTTTAATATATATTGCATTAGCAAAATGCCTGAACTCTTTTCTCATGCTTTACATTTACTTTCAATACCAAAAGAGGGAGAACTCACTGGTTTTCATAGTTTCCTTTTGTATTTGGGAATTGTTTTGTAGCCCATGTGTCTCTGCAGTTTATGCTTGTGAAAATATATGAATAAACATTCAGGCCAAGTGGTGGGGTACTCTATAGTATTTCAGTCTGAGGCATACCACATACTATGATATTGTTTTCTTATTTATTTCTTTTTATTGTGCAAGCTTGAATGTCTGTGTACATATGTAACCTTGTGCAGTGAACTCTTTTTATACAGCCATAGAAACCCCTCCTGCCTTCTGCATATTAAATTGTGATAGGGAGTTGTTGCCTGTCTCACTCGAAGACCTCGAAATGTACATGCATCTACCAATTGTGGTATGTATGACATATTGTTAATCTTTTCCACTCACAGACGCTCACATACTCATCTTGAGCTGGACTGAATGTTGAGTGCACATGAAGTATCTTATTGTGTTTTCTTTATCATCTAACTTTTGAGCAGGATTCCAAAATCGACCGTTTTTCTTTGCTAAGGAATCTCCCTTCAGCTATTAACTTTGCTAAATCCCAGTTGCAAAAGAGAAAGACTCTTCTGATTTGCTGCAGTAATGGTATGCATTCCCCTTTTTGACGCACTGTTATGAAACGTCATGGTTTTTTCTTGATATATGAATGCTTTTTTTTTTTTTTTTTNTTTTTTTTTTTTTTTTTCATTAGGAGAAGATATAAGCATTTGCGTTAGTTTGGCAATTCTGACGTCACTTTATGATGAAGCAGGTGAGAACCTGGATTATAATGTATATGCATTCTTAGTTTCTGAAAGTATTTCAGTCGAGGTGTTACTTATTTTTTTTCAATCGACAGGACACTTTGACGAGGGAAGATCCTTCAATGAGACACGAATCACCAAGATGGAGTTGCGTAGACGGCTAGTTTTTATATGTAAATATGTTGTTAGTGCACGGCCATCAAGGGGGAACATAAAACAAGTGTTTGCTTGCCTTAGCGGAGGATGTAACCCTTCTGCGTGATGGTTTATGATATATCTTATATGTAGTGTTTCAATTGAAACATTCATTTGGTTTTAAGTCCCCTATCCCGATTCAACTAGTTTGGTGTGCTCATTCTTTATATTTTTTCTGTTGGGCAATGAATTCCTTTCCACGAGAAGTGGATGCATCAGCAAATCCAGCGACTGAAAGGAAAAAATGGCAGCCGAAGCTATATACGCAGTCACGAAGATTGTGAGATATTGAAATTGCACATTATTGAGAAATGAGAAGGCTAAAGGTAAAATAAGTGTATCAAGTACAAGATAGTACACCAAAGGTGAGAGATTACTCAGTCTAACACTCTTATAGAGGGTTGAGAGGTACCATTTCAACTGGATTCTTGTATTATAATGATATATTTAGTTAATCTTGTGTTAAATTTTCTCAGGTGAATGAGGTGCATTCAACTAGTGAGGGCAACCCTTTCATTTCTTTCGGTCATTTAACTTGTTCGTTTTGCGCGGAAGCACATATATGAATCTTCTTATTTTTTTTGGTTTACTTTGNATGGGTTACTTTGTTAGCGCATATATGAAACTTCAGATAATCTCTGTTGTGCATATTTTCTGTCGATCTGAATTAGGGCAACGAATCTGTACTAGTGCTTACGTGGAACTTATTTAAGACCACACGCCCTTCATTTAAAAATAACATCGGCACCTACCTCCCATAGTCAAAAGCCTTGATTCCAACACTGATCACGTAAAACTTCCTTTGTGCCAATCTCATCCTATACATAGCTTCCTTCATGTTGATCTCTCTATTTAGTGAAAGAGGGTCCAGTGTGAATAAGGTTGCCGCCCACGAATCGGATACACGTCTTATCCCTAAAAAGACAAACTGCCACTAATCACTCTGCATAAAGAAGGTCCTACACCACGCGACACATGTACATGACTCATCAAATGTATGAATTGTAATAACCTTAACAAGGTTAGACCATGGAAAAAATATACAAAAAATACGAGAAATACAATAGCAATAGAAAAACGTGAGAAGCTTAACAAAAGCATTTATTACATCTTCTAATTTGTCTAATTCAACAAAATGACATTATTTAATGTGTTGCAATCTTGTGTTGTTCATTTTCAGCATTAACAAATTGGTGTTAAAAGAAGTGCTCAGTTTTTTATAACCACTATCCAGTTTCAATATCTTATTCGTTATTACTGTCTTCCGATCAAAATCAACCTAACGGTCCACAAAATATATAACTTGAGTCTAAATGTACTCAAATAAAGACTATAAAACCACCAAAAACTAATAACAAAAAAAAGTACAAAGTATTAGGTGTAGGTGGAACAAAACCTATGTTTCCTAATCTTGTGAGGGGTCCTATTTTAGAACCTCCTTAAGAGAGAATAAGATAGTGTTCCCAAAAACACAAGATCAACTTTCTTCTATCTCGTGAAACAATCGTGTGAGATTGATGGGGAAACTTCAAGAAGTTGTCGCCCACCAGACGACTCAAAAAGGTGTTCGAAAATACAACAGAAGATCTAAGACGATCAATGCTATCCATTAGGACAGTCTGTTAGACCATTGATTCGATTCAGATTGGGCAAATAATAAACCTTAAGTTTCTAATTCGAACTTTAGATTCGTTGCGCTTAGGATTTAATTATTAATTTTTCGAGTATGCACATCGATCGATGTTTCTCCATCGAACCCATCATTACCACCAAATATTCATTTACCAGTGACAAGTGTTGCAGTTTCTTTTGGTATCACATCTTGTACACGTGGTATTGAGGTCGAACTTTCACCATTATCTTTCCGTAGGACAAGTCTACTAACGAACTTATGATTTATCACTTAGCATTCCTCCAAAAATCAGGCATTTGTAACGATCAACTTTCAATGTTTAGTACTATAAAATAAACTAGTTTTCGTTTCTATTGGATATCTCACAAACAACCGAGCTTCCAAACAATGTACAGAATGTGCATTGATGTTTGCATAACGCAAAACCAAACTTGGAAATACCCAATAACTCATCAATGACTTAACCAACTCCACTAAAGACCTTTACCTTCAATCTACCACACCACTCAGTGGAGGTGTACCCCGTACAACCAATTGGGATCAGATCCCATTAACGATAAGTAACCTTTAGACTTTCTCAGAAGCTATTAGTCACCACGATTAGATATTAGTGACATTGATACATTTATCTCGATTCTTTTCGACAACATACCTTGTACTTTTTGAATTTCTCAAACTACTCAGGCTTATGGCGCATCACTTAAATTTACCGTTGTCTCAAATAATTTTCTAAAGAAGATAAAGTATTTAAAACTAATTGTTCAGCTAGTCATAGGACTACACAAATTAGAATGAGGCAATTCTAAATATTTTTTTGGCTTTTATACCCCTTTGCCTTTCAAAAAACCGTTTTGGTAATTTTAGCTACTACGTAAAATTTGTAGGTCTGATAGTTTAATCCACTTCCAAAGGATGCAAAAGTCCATCGTCTATCCACCTTTGAATTCAACTAAAGTTAAAAGGACCTAACCTTAGATACCAAAGTTATGTATGGTTCATTTCTTCAAGGTTTATTTCTCTTATTAGTTTTAGTCGATGTATTACAAGTTTGCTTTTGTTGCTCTGTGAGAGATTTTGGTCCTTGGGTACACAAATTTTCTACAAACTTACCAATAAAATATGTTATTTTCAAAACAAAAAAATAAAGAATAAAAAATAAAAATTATCATCCAATAAAACATAATATCCAATTATATACAATTTAGAAAGTGAATTTGAATTCTTTCTAAAACATGGTACATAAAAACAATTTCAAAAAATCAAAATTATATTCGGCAGACTTCTCCCTCTACATTAACCTCCACTTTCGTAGCAAAGCTCAATCTAGATGGTAATCTCCATATCACTTTCTCTTTCGATTTCTTGGAACCATTTTATATGATTCATTGTTTCCGTATCTGTTCACCATGCACCTATAGATATCACCCATACGCATAGTTGTCAAAACCGGACCGGACCGGCCGGTCCGACCAGTTGAACCGGGAACTGGCCAGTTAACCGGTCCGGTTCAATGGAAGAAACCGACTGTGGCCAAAACCGGTCAAAAACCGGTTAGTGACCGGTCGAACCGGCCAAAACCGGTCAAAAAACCGGTTGGTTCAACCGGTCATTTTTTTTTTCTTTTTTTTCTTTTTTTTGCCAATCCGGTCAAAAAATTTTATGTATAAATTCTAACACTTTTATAAATCAACTAACCTTTTATGGTTACCGATGTGGGACAAGATGTAAGAATTCCAAATTTTCAATTGTAAAGGTAAAGGACTAAAGTCGCGCGTGTGGAAGGAATTTTTTTTCGCATATCCCATCATTATTTCCTATTATTTTATTATCCAATGTGGGAGTGTGAGGAAATATTTCTTTTTTTTTTCCATATTTTTGTACTATCATTTTATTGCTTAATCAGTTAATCTATATATGGTGGGACCAACCTTTTAAAAAATAAGCCAACTATATTTAATATTTATAGTATTATATATTTAAAATATCAATAAATTAAATAACTTAAAAATTAATTTAACTATATCTATGAAATATTATATATATATATATATATTTAAAAATATCAATAAATTAAATAACGGTCCAACCGGTTCAACCACTGGTCGGACCAGTGAACCATTGAACCAGTAGGTCGACCGGTTCGATGACCGATCCGGTTTTGACAACCTTGCCCATACCGCAGTAGAATCAATGGTTGTCTCTAAATTGTTTCAAATTTCCAGTGAATAATGTATACATTTCTTATTTTAAGGATAGTACATTTTGTTTCCTATGTCCATTTTCAACTTCCAAGTGAATAATCGTTTGAACCATTTTATTGAATCCGTGTCGCTCACCTCGCCAAGCTGCAGTGTTTGCCCGCCACACGCGTCCGCCCGGTAGCTTGCCCGCGCCAGCGCACAACCCCTAGAAGATGGGCGCCAAGCGATGAGCACTAGCGAGCAGCGTCGAGCAACGAGCGGCTAGTCGATAAATGTTCGACTCATCTGGGCTCGCTACTCTCGACCCAACACCAATTCCAAACTTCTAACTTCTTGGTAGGAAATAACTGTGGAAATGTTTATCTGTAATGGAACCTTTTCCATTAGATCTATGCTACTATGAACTTGTCATATCAAGTATATATTTGTTTGAGTTGATCTGGTTATAGCCTTAAAATAGTATGGGTTAAGAAACCTGTCAATATTAGTTTGGGTTTGAGCGATTTGAATAAAAAAACAAATCTTTTGGCTGATAATGAAAATAAAAAATACTTTGATTTTTCAGTTGTAGGCTTGTAGTTGTTTAATTTGTGGGTGTTGGACATTTTTTTAAGAGAATTTTTAGGTGTCTTGCTTGATTTGCAATTAATTGCAACTCTACCATACAAGTAGAATTAATTGTGACTCTACCTAAAAGAACTTATTTATCTATATTAATGATAAAAGTCAGTTATCATATCCTTTCAACTTCCACCTTTTTATGTGTTTGATATTCGTCATATACCAAAAAAAAAATAATTGTTGGTTAAAGAAAAGAAAACACGATGCGGTTGAATAATAAGATACGGAAAAATATACCCAAAAAAACACGAGGACGATGCGGGTCGATCAGAAATTATGTTGAAGAACAAATACGCAAAAATATACCGAAAAAAACACGAGGACGATCAGTTTTTTGCTAAAGAAAAAAGTTGCGCAAAATATACAAAAANTATCCTGATATCACAGTCGACTATATATATATATTGATTGTATAATGATCATATATGGTACATATATAACAGTCGACTATATAACATATACTGTACAGATACTGATCATAAACTAAGATGTACATATACTGTACGTATATTGCTTAAGTTTCAGATATCCTGTATAACGATCAGGGAGCGTCGGCCAAAGGAGTGTTTCATATCACAGCCCGCTTGCCGCCAACAGGTACCCGGCCGCTTTCGTCCACAATTTGTGCGCCTCGAAAAACCCCAAACTCCACCGCCTATCCTATATAATGAAGACGACAATTCACACGCGAAGTAAGAGTTGATGTGTTTTCCTGAATGCAAATTTATCAAGTGTTTTTTGTTCTCCTATAAATGTAAAGAGCGAAAAATGGACAATACACAAGAAACAAGTTGAGCCAAAAAACTGTATTGTTGCTGGACGGAAAGGGAATAATTTTCCCTGTTTGATATGTTTGATCCGTGCAGAGGATGGTGGCATCGGTGAAAATACGTATGGGATTTGGAGGAGAGAGAGGGAGGGAGGGAGGAGGAGAAAAACTAAATCCCATAAAATCTGCCATTTACTATGTTTAATATATATATTTAACAAAACTAAAAAGATGGTATATGTGCAAATAATTATGATAATTTCTGTAGATTTGTAAATAAGTATATATTGAATGTATATGTTTAGGGTGAGTTTGGTTGCAATAATGGATTGAGCATAATATAATCATACTTGATTAAATCAAGGGTTATCCATAAAATAAATTAGCACATTAACTTGTTTGGTTTAGATTTAGAAATTCTATCATTTATATTGAAATTACTTTTCTATCCTTCATTTAAAATTAAATTTTCAGAATTTACCTAAAATCCCAAAAAATTGTTCAACTCCCTCACAACGGATGTGGCACAAAATAGATCCCAAATCACACAAGCTTCATTTATTCATGGGGATGTTTCTGGCAAAAAATAAATCCCAAAACAAATCACACAAAGAAGGTCAGAAATTATTTTCTTGTTTCCTTTGGTGTGCCGAGAGTTTAATGGCAGGCGCTGGGCTGAATTTATTGAGGATATGGATATGAAGTTGTTTGATTTTCTTATTTCTTATGGTGTGCTGAGAAATCGACCTTCGAAGTGCGGCTATGGAAAAAACGGTTGCACGAAGGGAACCTTCCGTCGTGTCTGTGGCTGTGTCGGCGATTTTTTTTCCTCTCTTGTAATCATTTTTTTGGATGATCAGATTTGTCCTTTGTAGCATCTTTTCAATTTTTTTTATCTTATTTTCCAATTTTTTCCTATTCTTTGTAGATCTGAAGTAGGAGGCCACATCTACGGTGAGGTGAAATATGGCGTATGGGTCGATGAGAAGCAACATAATGAAGATGAAAATGAAGAAAGAAAGATGAGTATTTTGGGTGTTTTAATTATTTAATGATAAATGACACACTATCCCACTACAAGATTGGGATACCGAATAACAAAACAAAGGAAAGGCAACCGGGCTTATGCGAGTTTCACGGGCTAAACAAGGTGTAACCAAACAAAATAAATAACTTGATACAATAACAAATGGCAGGATATCACGCCTAATCATTCCAACCAAACGCACCCTTAATATAAAGAATAATGAATTGTATGGAGTGCAAATTCTTTTTTTTTTTTTTNTTAGGTTTGTGAATTGGATTTGATCTTTAATTTCCACAAGGTATGTTCGTTTCTCCTCAATCGGCTTTTGAACTTTTTGAAAATTAATTTGGATGTCATGCTGGTTTTTATTCTCTGGATAGCACATTTCTTTTGAACGTTTGGTGACTATTAGGATTTATGTTATGAACTGTCGGCTCTTCTCTCCTACTAATTGCTATGTTACAGCTCTATTGGCTTCATTTGTGTCATTGTTGACTGATACAAACCAATTATTAGTTTGTTACTGTTATTTACAGTTAGGTAGTTAGCCAGGTTTTCAACCTTATCTTGAGTCCATTGAGTGGCGTTACAGATTCCAATCATAGGCTTGTGTGGTCATGACTATTGAGCTGCATATTCATGTTATATTTGGAAAGCCGGGACAAAAGAGATTCATAATTAGATAGTCTCCTTCATGTATTTTCCGGTGCTTAGTTTAAACCAAGTTGTAGAAAACTTTGTCAGTGTCAAGTGTCAACAATTTCAGTAGTTGCTTCACTCTTTTGATGGCTCAAACTGTACATTGTAATATTGTCTGATACTTGTATGATTCAGCATGCCTCGGTTGGTTTAACTTGGATATGACACATGTAGATATATGCTTGCCAGTAAACATTTACATTGATATATTCGCATTTTTATGCCGAACCTGTTGCTGACTGCACTCAACTCAAATAAACAATTTGTTTAAATCCGTTTTGTTTTAATCCCACACACAATTTAATTTATTGGAGGTAAAAAAATTTAAGTCCTGCATTCCTTGTTGACCGCTGCCATTTTCTTCTTTCTTGGAAGCTTATGTTAAAGTACTTGGGGAGGACAAGAATCCACACCCTATTACAATTGTTAGATAGTCTTGTAACTTTTGAAACTTGTGCATTTCTTTTCTAAAACACAATGTGATTTTTCATTTTCTATATTAAATATGCGTTGTTGTTCATTTACTAGCTGACTAGTATTTTTGGGGTTCTCGGTTAGATGACTATTTCTGGCATAACTTATGACAGCTTACTGATGAAATAAGAATTACAAGCCGGTCTTCAGAAGTTTCTTGCCTCCTCCATTTACGCATTTATTTGAATATATTTCTACTGTTGTTTCTCACTAATTAAGCAAGCATTATAATCACTCTTCGGAAGTTTTTTTCCCTCCTCCACTTTTGGATTTAGTTGAATATATATCTACGGTTGTTTCTCTTCGAATAGAAATTGAGGAATGTGATGGCATTATGGCAGGCTTATTATATATTGGACGAAATTCTAATTGCTGGTGAACTTCAAGAGTCAAGTAAGAAAACTGTTGCACGTCTAATAGCCGCACAGGTATGCAAATCAAAAAAGTTTCGTGATACACATTAGAGTCTGATATGTTACCTTGGATTGGAAGTTTAAATATGTACCTGTAGCTGAATAACATTGTATTTGTTTGTAGGATTCTCTGGTGGAGGCGGCTAAGGAGCAAGAAAATTCTATAAGTAATATAATTGCTCAGGCAACAAAATGAGGACATAGTTTGGTTTTGTTGGAGAAGACGATTTATATCTGTTTCTGTACTGGTGTAAAGTACAGTTGACTCAATAATGTTTATTTTTCCTTGTTAGCTGCTGTTATATTATTGTTACGTTGTAATATTTTTCATTGATAGGTTACTAAATCAAGTTGTACTCCATTTATGGATGAAACATTGTTGTATTACCTGTTAAAAATTTACTTGCTTTAACTGTGGTACTAAATCCTAGGGTTGCAACCATATGGGGAAGTTTCTTGGAGCTTGTTTAATAATGTTTCTCTAAAATAAATGAACCAAGCTCAATCTTTGTTTGGTTGGTCATATGGATTAGTATTCTTACTTGTACTTGCGTGATTTGATGCTAAAAGTAGGGGTGGCAATCAGGCGGGCTGGTTCAGGACGCCGGCCCTCAAAAGCTGGACTCGGAATCGGCCCGACTACATCTAAGGGCCGGTTCATTGAACCAACTCATTGAACCATCCCGACCAGGCGGTTCATTGAACCGCAGGTTTTTTAATAAAAAAAATAAAAAACAACTCGGATCCGTCTTTCGGTCTGGAACC